CAGTTGAGCGAGCTGGATTCGAACACGCAATGTCTCACCTCACCCCTCAGCAAATATATCGCCAACATGAAAACGAGAAGAAACGTACGTACGCAAGCGGAGTTATGGCGGTGGAACAAGCCACGTTCACGACGCTGGTGTTCACCACTTCAGGTGACATGGCAGGTAAATGTCAAATCTCTCACAAGCGACTAGAAGAACTCCTGTCAGCCAAGAAAGGCGAGGACTACTCGACTGCGATGTCCTGGATAAGAACCAGAATCTCATTTGCCATTCTAAGGACATCCCTCGTATGCTTAAGGGGATTACATTCAATTAGGAGAGTAAATCTCAACCTAAAAGAGATGGACTTAATTTGACATCGAAAGAGGACTTTTAGGACACCAGATTTTGATTTAGAGAAAAAATATTGAATATTGCATATTAAATTATTACAAAATTATCACTAAATTATTATTTAATTATTACTAAATTATTATTGCATATTCAATGATTACTACTTAAGGCCTTACTAGAACAGTTTTATATTTTTTAATTATGCTGCTGAAGGACAACATGAACAGATTATTCAATTACTACTACTTCTAATAATCTTATCGTTGTTGGTTCCTATTGAAATCGTGGCAAATTTTAAAGAGGAATTAGTGAAAAGATGTTAAATATTGGTAGTGACTGCTAATAGTGATAGTAATAATAATTAGTAGAGGAACATTTTCGTGGATTATATTTCAAGAGATGTTGAGATATGATCTTTTTCGTTTTTTAACAGACGTTAAGGCACAAACTTCGTTTTAATTGTTTTTTTAAGAGAAGCACTGTACATAGGTTTCTTTTATGAGTATTGAATAAAGATTTTTTTATCATTATTTATTTATTTTATTTTTTCCGGTCCATAATTAGCACTTTAGATCATTATGAAGGTCCATTGCGAGTGATAAAGACGTTAGCAACACCGGGAAAGTGTCCAAAGTTCGACGCACACATGCAACCGCTCTGCGGGTATGCAACGGCAATACTTGGGACAGGCCCCCTTCCTTGTAGGCCTGTCACTTCTGGTCGAGATCGTGCAGCCCTTTTTTTCAAAAGCCTTGAACGCCGTTTTGGACGGCCATCCTCCATGCCAGGCGCTGCGGTCTGTGGCGAGGGTTTCCCATCCAAGAGTGGGAATGCCGCACAGACCAAAGGATACCTTCAGTCGGTCTCTTTGAACCTCTTTACAGGGCGTCCTTTGTTATGCGCAACAGTGGCCAGCTCAGAGAAGAACACCACCTTCGGGAGGCGCGTGTCATCCGTCCGAACCATATTTCCAACCTACCACAGCTGTGCTTTCATGATGAGTGCTTCAATGCCTGACATGTTGCCTCTGCGCAGAGATGCGCATGCGCATGACCTTGCGAGGGCAACGGAGGTGAAACTGAGCAGGGAAGAGATAACAATTGCCTTGTACACTTGCAGCTCAGTGCATACTGTGATGACTTGCTTTGCCCATACTCGTGTCCACAACCTGCCAATGGAAGTACCTGCTATAGCCAGTCTGTTTGACACTTCTTTGTCCCTGAATTAGGTTGAACTCATTGTGCCTCGGAGGAGCAAATCCTGTTGCAGGCTGCAGCAATACCTCTGTTGTCTGCAGGCTTACGGTCAAAAGCTTTGGCGGCTGTTCAGTGACAGGTCTGTTTCATTCAGGGCTGCACAGCTGTAATGGAAGGTGATGCCAGTATCTGTGGTGGAGAGTGAAGAAAACAGCGTGGTAGCGAACGTGAGGGTGAAAAGAGCTGGAACCAGGACACAGCCTTGTTTGATGCCATTGGAGACAGGGAATGGATCAGACACAAATCTTTTTTTCCACTATGCCAGCCATCATTCCAACAAGGAGAGACCTGATGATGTTGACAAATCTCGGTGGACAGCCAAGCTTGAGGAGTTATGGCCAACAGACCCTCACGACTGACTGTATCAAAGGCCTTGGTCGGGTCCACAAAGAGGATGTACAGGTTCTGATTCTGCTCGCTTACTTTTCCTGGATCTTTACTTCTTACGGCGAAGATTATGTCGATTGTCCCTCTGTTTCTCTTGAAGCCGCCATGCTGACTCTCGGAGACGACATCATCCAACTAGTAGTTGTGATATGGCTCGGTATGACGTGATGTAGCACTTTCAGTTTTAACTGGCGCTTAAGGCTCCAAGTCCTCCTTAGGATGAGATAATTAGGTTAGTCAACTGAGATCCCTATTGGCACTCTCGTAGACCTGATTCAGCAAATAAGAATTCGCCATAACCCAGGAGGTAAAGACGTTGTTAGAATTGAGCTGGATCTCAGTCGATATCAGCGATCACGCAACAAGGAACAAGCACCGGTAAAACAGCCAGCGCAGACAACGAGGTTCGGAATCCACCAAACATAAGTAAGGATCAACGACGATCCTGCTATTTAAGAATAGGTTTCGTCGAACTTATTACACAGCAGACGACTGAAACTAAAAAAGAGCTCTGTCCATCCTGAGGCAAATGCCCAAGAAATCCTGGGCTATTAATTACCTAAGACGTGTTAGAACAGAGCAGCTAAATTGGATTTGTGACTTTGGTCATGTATTAAACTAAACCAATGGCCTAGTGAAATCTGGATCATTCTTAGATGCTGAACAAAGTCCCCTACATAGTTCCTACAATTGAAAATTATATAAGACTGCTCTATATAATTTAATCCTTTAAGTCTTGACTTTAAGACTCCTTAGTGTTCACTTTAAGACTACTTAAAGTGTTCACTTTTAGGGGCCCTTAAGAGTGTTCACTTTAAGACCCCTTAAAGTGTCCACTTTAAGACTCCTTAAAGTGTTCACTTTAAGACTGCTTAAAGTGTTCACTTTTAGAACCCCTTAAAAGTGTTCACTTTAAGACTCCTAAAAGCGTTCAGGAGTTGCCATTTCGGTGTCCAGGATCGGCTTGTGGCTGAAATTCTAAATGAAGGAAGAACCAGAAGAAGATCACGTGTATGGACACGTGGGATCAAAATAATTAACTCACGTCCCCAAAGCTGTGATCATCATGTCGAGTTATCTTTTTTCCAGCGTACCCGCACGTTGATCGAGAACCGTTTCGCTGTTTGCCGCACGCCAGCTGATTAGTTAGCAAGATTTTGTTTCGGTTTATTGGCCGGTAAAAATTTACCCTTGTTAATATGTCGCATATTCCTTTCCTTTTTTTCCTTGACCGTTAAAGTCTTAGTGCGGAATGAGCAAATGTTTTCTTACCGCTTTTCTTTTACTGTACAGTGACGTGGCTGCCTCTGGTTTCTTATCTTTGCGGCAGTATTAGAAATTGACCTCCGATTGCTAGCTAAAGCTAAGATGTTAGTATTTCCTTTCTTATTTTCAAAAGTGACTTAAGAGCCTTTAGGTTTGTTTGAATAGTTTCCTGCAAAGTGTTGGAACTGAGTATTATTCAACATGCTGGACCTAGCTCTTTAGCGTCTCGTACAAGATATTGAAGCTTCTATTGATCTACTCTGGTAGGCAAGAGACTCTTGTAGTAAAATTGGCATCTAATTTCAAACTAAAACAAGTACAAAATTCAAAATTGATACAATACAGCAATATAATTCAAGAAAGTTTCCTGTGTCTTTTTCAAAGCCATTCCTAAGCCAACCATTAAGTATTTTAATATTTTTTCTTATTGATATTATTATAGTTACTTGTTTATTGGAGATATAAAGTGTAAACCGAAAGAAATACATCTGTTGTAGTTTACTATCACCCCGCTTCTCAATCCGTCAATGCTGTTTAGTATTGACTGTTCCAGTAAGTTAAAAGTAAGTTTGTTTTGTTTTTTAATTCGTTTGTTTCTTTTTGCTTTTGTTCAAACGGGTTACCAGGGAAAGAGGGTATTGTTTGACCTTGAACTAAAACTTTAGTTATTTGCAATTTTATTTTCATTTACTTTTGCGATCTGAGAGTTTAATGTTTAGCTCATTCCAAGAGTAATTTTAATGTTAAAACATGAAGAACTGCTAAGTACGGCTGTTAGCCCTTCATACCGTACAGACAATTGGCGCGTGACCACGTTTTCAGAATCTTAAATATTCAGGGTGTTTTTTCGTATAATGGCAGTCTTTCAAATTGAGTTTGCCAATTTTAAGTTGATAAATAATTAGAGGTGGCGTATTGACAAGGCACCTGCGGCCTCATGGTCTCCCCTTTTAATAATGGACGAAAATAGCGAAATGTGTTCAAGTTCTCAGTTAAACAGTCGTAATCTGTTTCAACCTGTTGAAATCATCTCTTTTGTTGGCAAAGCTTCTTAAAAAGCTTAATTTGAATTCGATAGTTTCGGGAATCAGCATTATCACATAAGGAGAAACCGCTATACTCCGGAAAAGAACCGAATGAGACAAATTACAACAATAGAAAAAAAGATTGTTTTCTGACCCATTGATCTCAATATAGCGCTAACTGATATGATTGGGTGATGTAAGTTCCTATTCACCTTTTCAGCATATCCCTACTGCAAAAACTACAAAACAAGACAGAAATAACAATAATTGTGGTTTTCATTATAGAGATATGCTACCAGGCTTCACAAAAATTCGAAATTTCATTTTTTTTCCTCGATAATAGACTTGCCACTCATGTGGTAAGAGAGGTAAACACAATCTATATGTTAATTTATAATGCTCATATTAGACAATCACCTCTAAATGTGCCAAGGACGACGACTCCGCCATACAAGTCTCAAATTACAGGAAAAAAAATGATGAGCATGCCACAAACGCAAGTCATGGCTAATTTACGTCTTGCATAAAACAGCCCAAAACTGTCGGCTCGAAATTAAAGATTTATGGCATGTTTGCCATGATGAGAATTTGTGGCGACCGCCTGAGCTGATACGTACAATAAAACATAATTACTTGAACTGTCATTTAAAGAAGTGGTTCGCATAATTTATTCAAAGAACCTTAAAGCCTGTAACGGACAGTGTTTCCTATTATTTCGGGAGAGGAGAAT